AGCTTTAATGTAAAAGTGGAATTTAGCCAAGGTGAAGTACTTATCAGGGTAAATAATAAGCAGGGAGGGCAAGGAATTGGTTGATTAGGGTTGAAATCTTGTTCAGTGCGTGAAAGGGATGATTTTTGTGGGCTGGAGACTTGTTCACTATGATCAATGGTAGGGTGAAGAGTTGCTCTTAATATCCTATTTTCCAATTCCCAGTGAAATACATACACCTGATAAAATGTGACTGATGACCCAGCTAAGACTGTTACTTTAGCATTGGGTACATTTTCATTTTCTCAAACAAAGCAGAATAACTAGAAGCATTAGGAAGTATAAACCAATTTAAAGTTGAAACTGAGATCAAATTCCACAATAAGACTGTATTTTCGTGGAATTATTTGTTCCGCAGGCCTGTCTCACACCCTCTGAAAGACACGTCATTAAATGTTGTAGCCTGAAAGTCACATTCACAGAAGCTATTTATGAAAAAAATGAGTGTGCAAAAACACTGATGATTTGACGACATGCAATAACTTTTTCTGTAACCCAAATCTTGTAGAAACATTCTGGAAGCTAAGAATTAAGTAAAATTCCACCTCTCTTCTATTAGGCACCAACTCAGGCCTTAGTTTTTAAAAATTCATTCATGGCTTCACTGGCATTTATTGCCTAGTTGCCTTGAGGTGGTGCCGGTGTTGTGCTGCCTTCTTGAGCCGCTGCAGGTAATATGTATTATCTATGAGATGCACTGCAGAAATTCACCAAAGATCCTTATACAGCACCTTCCAAACTCATGACCATTTCCAGCTAGAAGGACAAAGACAGCAGATACATGGGAACACCGCCACATGCAAGTTCCTCTCCAAGCCACTCACCCTCCTGACTTAGAAATACATCGCCATTTCTTCAGTTCGCTGGGTCAAAATCCTGGAACTCCTGCCCTAATGGCATTGTGGGTGTACCTACAGCACATGGATTTCAGCAGTTCAAAGTGGCTGCTCACTGTCACCTTCTCAAGGGCAACTAGGAATGGAGAACATGCGCTAGCCAGCCAGCAACGAAATCCGACAAGTGAATGTTAAAAAAAAACAGAAGAGAGGCAACAGATGGAATAAAAAGGGAGGCAGAGGAGGAGTATGAAGAGGGGAGGCAAGGAATTCTCTTTGCCTTGGGGTTGGAGATGGGAAGGATGAAATGATTATGATATTGGGTTACAGGTTTTCCATAAAAGATCACTGAATTTCAATGAGCTAGTCTGTTAGGGTCTCGGAGAAAAAGAGTGCAACTCAAGGATGGAAGACTCAATGGCTCACTTGAAGAGTTTATAGATACTTCGGCACAATTTAATATGTCCAAACAATGCTAGTCAATAAATTGATTATAATTACCAAGTGTTTGGGCTGTTCTCAGCATAAGGAAGCCATACAAATATGAGCTCTTGAATACAGCTCACTTGCTATTAAGCAAACATGAGTGAAGCAGATGTTTAATTGCTTTCTGGTGGCATATACCCATTACACTACGTGTGATGGACTGTGAAGATGTATTAGGATAATTATTGTATTAATGGTGAATTTTCCATTCCATCACTTATTTAGTCAAAAGGAACAAGAAAACAATTACATCACATCATAGACAATAGACAATGTTATGCTTGTTATACTTTGTTAACCAATCCCCTTCATGTTACAAAGTTTAACCAATATTAGTAAATACTCCAAAGATTACTATTATATTTCAATCTCCAGTCTAACATACATTTTGAAGCATTAGGAGGAAGCCGAATGCGCCTGCAACTTGGCTTTCAAAATGCCAGACAAGATTGATTTGTACTAAACAATTGGGACCCAACTTAGTGCGGAATTTAGGATTTGGATCAGTCTTCTAAAACGAACGTTTAAATTTATCTTTTCAGAATGTTTTTCTTACAAATGTACTGAACATTGATTAAGTTTTAAATACTCCATAATTTCAAACTTCTACCAGAAGATACTTAAACACAAGTAATTTATTACAATTAAACTTTCTCAGGTCATATTTTATACAGAAAAATGAATTTAAATAAATATATTTAATGTTCACAGATGTCTTCTTTATTAACAGCTGGATCATAGGTACTTTCATTGTTATTTCAGTAATAAATCTTTGGCAATAAAATGCATTTTGGATTTAGAGCCAGCCAGTGGGATTCCCGTCTCGTGACTAGATGAAGGTTTAGCCAACACAAGGTTTCCCAATATTTTGGTTTAAAATATGGGTCAAATTTAGAATAGGGACAACTCTTTAATAATTAATGCACATACAACAACCAACATGACATCATATCCAATGAATCACCAAAAAGAAAATATGCCAAACAGAAGCTGAAAATCTTTAGGCAGATCAATGATGTTACCACAAAAGCATCCATTTTAATTAAATGGTGATTGTTGTGTCAATGATTTGCGATACCTAAAAGATGATGGATGTCAATCAAAGCAAGTCTGAAATGCTCTCAACACACCTCTTAACAAGGTTCTATTCAGCTGCTTCAGTCAACAAAGAGTCAAAGGTGTACTTTGAACGATTCAGATTATTCAAGCTCAGGCTAAGGTGTTTACTGAGCAAATGAATGAAAATACCAGCATTAAGGACAGTTTGAATCAACATGCAAAATGTATGAGGCAGCGGGCAAATTCAATCCAAAAAGTTTGCAAAATGCCAAATGAAACTCAATAACGAGGGAAAGACCAACAACAGACAAGTTTCCGCATGTGAAAAATGAACAGAATCTTGGAGAAACAACAAGGCAGAGAGACCAGGAGGCTGTAAAGCGGAGAGCCTGTGCGGGCTGTAAAGCAGTCTGTGCAGTTCTAAACTTTTTAAACCCGTAAATAATGGAATACTCAGCGAACGGGGAAATAGGAAGGCTTGAAATCACAGAGGTAATCAGAGCAGGAACACGTGGTGTTGAGGATAATATCTCATAATGTAGTGATACATATGGGACTGTACTTCCAACATGGACAGAAATTATCAATCCTAGGTGTGCACAGAAGAAGAGACAATGAGCTAAGGATGCTCACTCCTTCAGAAAGTGTCAGTGCTGACAGGGTGGGGAGTGAACAATAAGTTACTGTGGACAAATGCCTCCTAGCAGCCAGTTTCAGAATAACAATGCAAATATGTTTCCATCATAGGCCTGGATGAACACAGCAGGCCAAGCAGCATCAGAGGAGC